CGGTGCCGTATGACTACACGGATTGGAAGTGCTGAAAACCGGAAAGCTGAACTGTGAGTGGGCGCTGGAGCTGTCCATCAACCGAGGAACCGGTTACGCAGATCCTTTATGAGTAATTACTCATTTACAGCCAGACCGGCGCAGTCAATTTATCGTCCATATCTTATTAAAGTAAAAAGTAAACGTTAACAATTTTTTAATACCCTCCTTATTCAGGTACGACACGCAGCAGGGAAAATTAAAGGAGGCCAGGTTGTGCAAAACCAAAACAGAGCTTAGCCCGGACACCGTGGTGAGCTTCTCTACTGTGATGAACAGTGCCGTGGCATGTAGTGGCTTTTAGTGCAAAATAAATAAGTTACAGTGTCCTGTTCCATTCAGTATATCCCTTGAAATCTGTTCCCGCTAGGAAACCCAATGGGATCTTTCATGACCAAGGGGTCCGGACCTCAGTTTAAGTTCTTGACCGAAGGACGGCGCTGTTACATGAAGCATTATATACATGAGCACTATTTTTTATTTACATTTTACGTTTTGTATACAAAAAAAAAATGGAAATGCAAGCATGTACATATACTCACACGTGCTGCAACACGACAGCACAAAGACAACGTCAAATGAACGAAGCAGAACAAACCACATCGATTTGAAGATTAAGTTAGGGGGTCACATTACATAAATTTATATGCTAGGAAATTTCTGTAAACCAGTTATCCAAGGGTGTTTTTAAATAGATTTTAAAGAATTTGTCTTTGAAGCACATAGAACTTTTACGAACTCTGTATTTAAACGTTTTCCAACATGAGAACGACGTTGAACATTAGACGAACTGTTGTTTTTTCCAGAACTCCATGAGCACACGATCACTAATCGAGGCACTGGTTCGGAATTAGTGGTTCAGAGGGAAGGTCGCCGTCTACTGGTGGAAGTTTGACACTGCTGAACTTTTACGCCATGAAATCTCATCCCAGTACTGAGCAAGACCAGCCGTGCTCAGCTTCTGACTTCCTCCTGCAGGAACTGACAAGACGATCAGAGTGGAAAAACAGACCCTATGCATGTATGATTTTTAAAGTTATTTTCTACTTTTTCTAAAGAAAATATTCTACATATACGTCGGTTCCCCCATTTTTACCGTACATGTAAAGCGTTTTGTGATCTTTTGAGATGAACGGTGCTATAAAACTCAAGGACATATTCATTATTATAGTCCATGTCATGGTGAATATTATAGTACAGACTCAACTGGACAGCCATAGAATTGGAGCAGAGAGAAACACAAAGGTCCTGAAAGGGCAAATTAGCCTCAGGGAGTTAATTAAATAAAATTAATTAAAGGTGAATTCAAGTAATTTAAAATAATATGGGTATGATTACATCCTGTCTCATTGTCAACAGGCTATTTTGTATTGTGTGTTGGAATATCATGCATTGAACTTATTTTTAAAATACCTAGTAACAGATTTGTTTAAAATACGATAACTCCAAATCATTCACAGGGTAAATTCCGTGTTGCGTGAAGAGACCATGAGAAGCGTCAAGAGTTTGATTGGGCCTTTGGAGGTGTGAACCCTCCCTTCATCCCCTGCTACAGTCGCAGTTGTATTTGCATTTTAACGAGCCTTGTCCGGGGAACCTGTTTTCCTCCAGTTTTTAGCTTCTGAATTTCTGCAACTGAGCACAAGTCCACCTATACTTTGTGACACTGGAGATCATGAGCTTTCGCACTGCTTTATATTGCTCCAGGAAATAATTGACAGTTAAATAAATGGCATTAAATCAGAAGGTTGAAGAAATAAGAGCATTATGACAATACCAATTTGTAATCTGTTGTATAGCGGTAGATCCTGTAGCAGAATGATTTCAGCGTTGGTCTCCATTTAGAATTACAGTACTGCTCACTTTGTTTTCCAGTTTGTGAAAATCCCAATTCACACTCTTTTGCTGCACTTTCGTATTGAGTAGCCGGGCTTCGGCACGGCGGGTGATAAGTGCTCAATAACCTCTGCACATGTGGATTTGGTGGGATGTTATCCTTATAGAGAAATGTGTTCATCCCCCCACAGTTTACACTAATGAGATTCACCAGTCAAACTGTTAAGCAGATTTAGCTTGTTGTTTTCGTGCTACCTTTCTCAATTTCCTTTAAGAAAGAAATCCTTGACTGAGAAGGTATCTGCATTCCTGCCCAAGAGCCAGCAGGATATCTAATCAGATTACAATCACAGTCTACTCTGGAATTTAAACTAAGAAGAGAGTTTTGCCCTTTTAACAATATATTCTGTTTATTTTTCCTCTCTGTCATTTGTCACTAAGATGATTAGGTGTCTGATCTTCCTCCCCTCTGAACAGTAAATCCTCACTGATCCAGCTATCCTGTTAGGACAAGTGCCCAAAGGGCCTGCCCACTGTGTCTATTGTCTGTCCCACATCTAAGGCTCTCGATGTGGGCTAATCTCATTTATTTGCTATATGTGTCAGAGAATGTTGTAACACCCAAAAGACTTCAAGGTCCTTTGCAGACTGTGATCAGCGCACAAGGGAAAAACAAAAGGCTTGAAGGTGCTAACTGGCGTCTGCAACTGTGGCACCCCGTCTTCAGCTCACCCACATGACACCAAGACTGAGCAATTTCCAACACCCAGTGCCCGAGGGGAACATTAACCACTGTTAATAGGGAAGGTTCATGCACATCTTCCACCTGTGTGCCGTTCACTTGCGGGCGTCTCCTCCGCACGTTCCAACCTGTGAATCGTGCGAGGCGGCTCTCTTCTCCACCTGTGCGAATGGTGAAAGACTGGGCAGGACCGTGCGCTCTCTCGTAGAGTCCTGTGCGGCGTTTCGCTTTTCTGTTTGTCCGGATGAGAGAGTGGTTCTGCCCGGTGAGAGGCGAGAAGAGGAGAATCGCGTCGTGTGGCCTCTGTAATGCTGCGGGCAAAGCATCGGAGTGCAAGGAAAAAGTCTGTCCTTGAAAATGATTCCACACGCTAGTGCTAACCCCAGAGTGGAGCTTCCATTAGGAGCACTATAGACTTTGGCTTATAATATCTTTCACTAGGCTGGCCTTCTGTCATCGAAACTGGCGTTCGGGTCATGAAAATGCTCGCAGCTCCACAGAGTGCCCAGAGATTCCCACACTTTGTGGCAGCATCTTTACTGTAGTCATATTCTGCAGTGGATGCAAGTCTAGACTATTTCTAGAGCTGCCGGTGCACTGTCCGTGTGTGTGGCGTATGCTGGTGTTCTTGCAACCAATCTTAAGTTCTCTTGAGACCCCTTTACATCTTTTGCGGGTAAGATCAATTCAATATATGTTCGGTATTGCTGCCTTCACAGCCCAGGAGCGCTTTCACAGATCGTTACTCGGGTGAACCACTAGGAGGCACTCTCTCCTCAGGACCACAGTTTCTAAACCAGTTTCACACTGAGCTGACTGGAGACACTGTACACTAGTAGGTTCCATACTTCACATGAGATGTTAAAACTAGTCCTAAATAAGTGGTCATATGGTACTTTTCGAAAGAGTTTGGGTGTTAACCCTGGTGCCCTGGCTAAATTGCACTAAAGTCTTGTACAGTCTGGCCTTCCTCAAGTTCCCCTGTATTCATTTGGGGAAGTGCTTTCTCATGCCTCCACGTGTAAAGCATTTTGTGATATGCTGAGATGAACAACACTGCACTTTTTATCCATTATTGTAGCAGAAGTCATGAGTATAGTACAGGGCCAACTGAACAAACATTAGACATGGAGCAGAGAAAATCACAAAGCTCCCAAGTGGGAAAAATACATCTCAGGGAGTTCAAGTCCTAACGGTTAATTAAACTAATTTAAAACAGAATGGTTATGATTACTTCCTGTCTGATAAGCAATAGGCTATTTCTAGTGTGTTGGAATTATTATTTGAAATACGTAGTGACAGAGTTTGTTTGTTTGTTTTTAAATACATTTGATTGAAATAGTTTACAGATTCAGTTTTGTGTTACAGGCAGTGTCATGACAGGAGCTCGGCTGGCCCTTGCGAGGTGTGAAAAACACCCCCTCCCCCGCCTCCCTCTTGCATTTGCATCTTAACAGCGCTTTGTTTGGGGACCAGTGTGCCCCCTGGTGTGCCCGTCTCCATCCAGTTTTGGCTCTGAAACTGCGAATGTCTGACCGTTCACAGGGGCTGATTAGAACAGAATGCCTCATTGTCCTCTCCCTGCAGTCTTTGCCCAAGGCCCACAGTTCTTTTCATCTTCCCTTTGCAGTGGAAAGTCCCCACTTACTAACGTCTCTCTTCGTCCTTTTCCCTAAGGCCTGCAAGGGTCTTCCCCTAGGTCTCCCTGACTCCCCACTTCAGGTTATTTAGATTGATCCACACTCCTCTTTCATAATGGATGCCAGAAGCCAAAGCAGAAGCTGTGTTTTTCTGTTCACTTCTGTGACTTCCACCCCGTTGCCATTCCCTGATAGGTCAGCGCTGTCCTACCTTGCAGAAAATGGACAGTGTTGTCCCTAGGGGCATCAGAACCCCAGTCTGATGAAGGAGTGGAACCTGTGCTTGATCGGGCTCTGTGGTGCCTGGCATCGGTTGTAGAAGAAGATAAGTCAAGATCACTTTATTGGCCATATACAATTTCTTGTATAAGAAATTTGTCTTTTCATATACCCCAACTTGCTCTCCATGAGACACACAGACAGGGAGAGAGAAGCTTGAAGTCAGAGCGCAGCGTCAGCTATTTATACGGCGCCCCTGGAGCAGTTGGGGTTAAGAGCTTTGCTCAGGGGCCCAACAGAGTAGGATTCCTCTGCTGGCCATGGGATTCAAACCAGCAACCTTCCAGCCACAGGCACAGATCCTGAGCCACAGAGCCACAACACCACCCCAGTCCAACTTCAGGAGGAAGTGGGGTACATCTCTCCTTCCTTCTGCTTAGCACACCCAATGTACTGTCACTTACTTGTAATTTCCTCCCCCAGACAAAGATGAACACCGTTCGCTTTAGCTTTAGCTTGTTTAATACTCCTACAGCTCCTCTGCCTCCACTTTCACTGTACACACACTTCCAAGTAGTTCCCACTTGTGTCTCCTGGTTTAA